GTGATGTGCAGTGTCAGTGAACAGAATACCAAATGGGTTCAGTCGTAGTACCGACGATGCTCATTGAATTTTCAGTAAAAACCATTAACGTAACGAGTGACTACTACTCACTGTGGATTTTGTTCAATCATTTATTTGCCATTCATCAGTTTATTGAAGACTGTGTTTTGTGAATACAGAATTTATCGCAACTCAGTTCCATGCCAAGTGCTGAAAATAACTTAAATGATATCCATAGTTCAAATCCCTTTCAATTATTCAAGATTTAAATCTTAAAACCACTCAAAATATTAAAAATCAAATAAACTGTAAAATCCATTCATAAAAATTCCACACTTCAAAAATTGCCATTCAATAAATCAAATCATTAAATAAAAATCATTATCCACAGGAAAAAGCCCTGAAATTCACCGATAGGCTGTCCATCTTGAAAGACTTGGACATCTTCGAGGGTATCAGTCTGGTGAACACTGGATCAGCTAGGTCAGCTCGTAGCTACGAGCCTTTGGCTGAAGAACCTAAAGCCAGGGAACTTCAGATCGACGAGAGAATCGCTGACAACGTTGGAGACTTCTTAGAAAACCACGTACTGCAGTTGCGTCTGTCTTCTCCTGATGAGGAATCCCGTGGTCTTGATGAGGAAGGTAAGAAGAAATTAAAATCTTATACAAATATTCCTTTAACTCACAAGGGTCTAAGCTAGCTTACATAAACCCAAACCTGCCATTAGCAAGGCAATAAACAAATCCATTGTCACAACGAGAAACTTTACCGCTAAAGTGCCAAACGAGTTTCAAACAATGCATTGAAACCTAGGTACCTCACAGCTTTCTCTTTTACACATATTTACATACACAGTTGTCAGACAAAGCCCTTTACGGTGTACCATAAGGTGCTAAAAGAAATGTTTTGTATTGACAGTTTCACGCATGATTATAAGATTTATTTTCACCGCATTCTCTTCTAACAGTACATTGTGAAGGTGTCGTAACATTCTTATATCCAATCTCTCAAACGATTACAACATCATCGAATTAATCATTCATTTTATTCAAAGCAAAATATTCAAATAAGATATCTTGGATATCTTTTTCATAAACAGCTCCTTAATTTGAATTCAACTAAAAATGCAAAGCAAAAAAATATCGAACGGAACATTAGAGTAATAAGCGTCTATTAAACTGACTCAGACTGGACGTACTATTTTTAGAAAATTTGTGATTTTACATATATGATGCAACACACTTCGACAATATTCAACTACTTCCATTACTGGTACTCTGGTAATTTACAATGGCGATAGAGAACTGCAACTTATATTTCCTTCTTATTTCCAGCCCGTGGCAAGAAGAAGAAGAAGATCAAGAAGCTGTTGCCCCTCCTCCTCCTCTTGAAACTTAAGATGGCCGCCCTCATCCCTCTGTTCCTCGGAATCATCGCTTTCGTCGCTGTCAAGGCTGTCTTCTTGGGCAAGATCGCTTTCGCTATGAGCGCCTTCAGTCTGATCAGGAAACTCTTAGCTAAGAAGGGAGGATCTTCTGGAGGTATCTCGTATGCTGCTCCTCAGCATCATGATGAGCACCCTGGATACTCCTACGAGCCTGCCAGCCAAGGCTGGAGCAGGTCGATGGACGGTGCCTCAATGGCGTACGCTGGACAAATCAGCAACTGAACTGATATAGAATGAATGTGTATTAATTTATTTGTGTGAATGTGTGCTATTTATTCATGATTGTTGAAGCCATGTACAAGTACCTCAGTCTTAATTTATTTATTTAAATAAATATTTATGTTCAATTTTATTTCATTCGTTTTGTTTTATAGCCCCTTAATAAAACATTTTAATACATATGTTTCCCTTTTCTACTAAGGAACAGTTTCAATACCTTTACATTTACTATAAAACAAATAGTTATTCAATGTCTAGGAAAACATACATCACTATTGAGTAACGTTCTGATCGCTAAACGATTCTTTTAAACACTCTGAGCAAGCAAACTGCTGATTATCTCAATTTCTGTTGTTCTAAATGCTGGTCGCAAGTTACATTGCATACAGAATTTAACAAAATCAATATTAACACAGAGTACTAAGAAAACTTACGAGTTACATTAGCCTTATATAAAATTACTGACTGATTGAAGATGACATTAATAAAAAAGAAAAAAAAAATGCATCATGAACTAAAATATGTAGCTATAAGCAACAAAATGGCTAATTAGACAAAGCTAGCGATACCAATCACTTGACATTGTGGTATGTAGAACCCAATGCTTGGAATATTTTTCTCTTAACAAGAATAGGTACACAATAATTGCATTTCTATAATTCTATTGCTAAAAGGTTAACAATGTATTTGTATATCCTCCAGTGTAGGTGTCTGTGGGTCGAACCAACCACGTACACCATCTACCATAGTACCTGGATGATCGAGCTTTGTTCGGTGTTTTTTTTTTCAGTAAACGAAATTTTCCAAAAATGATACCTAGCTGTATCAATTTATAGCCTCTGAAACCCCCTAAATACAAAATTTGCAGAAAATCATTGGAGCCGTATGTATACAAGAGTTGCTGGTTTAAAGGTATTACATAGATTACAAAATATGGATAAATAGAGTAACTTTTAATTTTCATTAACATTATTGGTATAAAATAGCATTAGATAATAGGATTCACACAAGTATAGTAACAACGATGAAACAAACGGAGTTACACTCTACATAGTATGTTTAAATTTTATATTTAGACACTATATGTATATAGTATACACTACTTATACATTTTTAAGATATAATATCTCTGTAAGTCTTTGAATATTAAACTTAATTTATTAAATTAGAAACGGAAGATTTTTCGATTAAAAATTTTATGAATGAAAATGTTCTAAGTACATTTCAAGGAATACGACGCGTTTTATAATTACTGTTGTTTTTATATTGTACTAGCGACCCGCCCCGGCTTCGCACGGGTGCAATATGCATGTATTATACATACAAACCTTCCTTAAGAATCACTCTATCTATTAAAGAAAACCGCATCAAAATCCGTTGCGTAGTTTTAAAGATCTAAGCATACATACGGACATACAGCGAAAGCGACTTTGTTTTATACTATGTATTGATATATAATTTTTGTAAAGTACTATAAAGCGGTGTTCAGTGCCTAGTACAAAGCATTAGTTTCATCCTGTTTCATAAATCTTGATATATAATACTAGCGGTTCCCACGACTTCGTCCGCGTATAATAACGACTTTTTTCTTATTTTTCTCCTATTAAAATATAGCCTATGTTCATCATCCATAATGTAGGATTCCAACTGTAAAATAATGATTTTTAAATTCGGTCCGGTAGCTTCGGAGGACATTCCATTCAAACAAACATAAACAAACAATCAAATCTTTCCTCTTTATACTAATAGTGTAGATGTAGATAAAAATGCGAAAGTTTGTGTTTATTTTTTGTTACTCCTTCATAATGGCTGAAGGGATCGGGCTAAAATTTGGAACTAAAGCCTACTTTGTATACTATGGAAATGTGGACGAACCTGCTGGCAAAAGCTAGCCTTACTATAATTAAACTGCAAAGATAATGTAACATGACGAAGTTAATCAAAAAATAAAAGAGAATTATGTTAAAAGGGCCCATTGCTTGAGAGTAGTCAAGGCAGGGAATCTTATGCTGTGGCTTGTATTAATGTCAAAGTTACAAACAAAATCATTTATTTCAGTTACACCAGGGCCTTCCTGAACCTTTGAACGACAACAAAAAAATAAAGTGAATCTATTTGCTCATTCCAAGGTGTAAATTCCTATGGAGAAGAACGAGCAAGAAACAACATAGGTTATTTTTTCAATCAGGTGGAGAAGGCCTATGATCAAAACGAGAATACAATAATAAAAATAAAGCAACGTTTTTGGATATTTAATTACTGTTTATGCCAGTATTCTTGTTTATAACTTATACTTTATACTTAAGTACCATGCCTTACAAATGAGAAGAATTTATTGCTAAGTTCATATAGTTATTTTTGTTGATACTCAATCTTTGTATAAATTAAGTCTATTTATGTCTTCAACCCTGTCAGGGGTAAAAGATTATAAACCATATATTATGTAGAAGAGGCCCATACTAAAGTAGTGGTCTGTCACAGGCCGTTGAAGTTCTTAGATAAAACAAATTGACTAGGAAACGTAATTTGGTTTAATCAATGAGTAGTATGTTTACTATATTGTAATCTAAACATGTGTCTAATACAACGGTCTTAAGTACTAAATACAAATTGTAGGTGGCTAAAATAATACCAGTAAATAGAATAAATAGCAGGATCACTATAGTCATTGTTTATAGCAAAAAATATACACGGTTCAACATGGACTACGGTAAAAGGAATATAATACTAATTTCACACAAAATAACAAACCTGCTATCAAAAAAGAGACTATAAAGAGTATTAATAAAGAAATTTGAGGACCACGACAACTTAAATCGAAACAGCCTTGAGCAATTAAGTTACACTACACAAGTGCAAATTAAAACTCATAATTCTCTTAAACTGTGTAATAAAAAGGTAAATAAAAATATCAACAACACAAATACTTAATGTATGCAAACGAGCACCTGTAGTAAAACAAATTTATCAACACAGATCATACAACAAAGCATCTGAAGAAAGATCTCACGATTTAACATAAACACGAGTTCTTAGTGAAGTTTCTCATAGAACCGTCCATTCCTACAAACTCCAGGAATCCGGAGAAAGTGCCGGAACATACAATATTTCACTCAAACAACATAGACCTTCCTACAAAACGAAGATGAAAAAATCGAACGTGAATTCCAAATATACATAAATATTAATGAAAATAAAGTGTGCCACGCACTTTTGCATAGTGTCGTCTAGTTTCCATATAGAAGAGATGACATTAAAATGTTAATTCTATAAAATTTCGAGTGGGGGGACTTTGGATAAAAAATAGTGATCCCGCCGAATTATCATCACAGTTCGAACGATCTTGGATTAGCTGAGTCCAAAGCAGAAGCAAAGATGAAGAGCTTTGTAGTGTTTTTAAGTGTTGTGGCGTACGTGTCCTGTGGTCCAGTTAGTTCAGATGATTCAGTGCTTCGCTCGGTTCTTGGAAATTTCGTTAACTGTAACAGTGATTTGGGTCTGTGCATGAAGGTATGGAGTGAATTGGAGTACTTGTGAAGTGATTACTTGACCTTGACACATGGAATCAAAATCATGGACATTTTTATCGATACTCAAGTGTTTTTAGTCGTTAAAAGTGCATTTCATGTTTACTACAACCATTTCTCAATCAATCAACGTCTCATTAATTGAATTGGTCATTCATAAAAGTGTTCATAATGTTATTGCAGTCCAAGTGTCAAGTGCAAGATCAAAAGTCAATGTAACGTTATTTTGCCAAATTTGAATCCAAGGTCAAGTTGAGATTACAAAAGAAAATAATTTCCTTATACGAATCGACCTCGAAATTAAGAGAAAGAGAAAACAAAGTGTCAGATCCTGCAAATGGAGCCTTATGGTGAAAGTGATTTTTAATTTGTGGGACACATTAGATACGTCAATATAAAATTAGCGATAGGCAGTCAATAATTCTTAATAATTGATCACCATTATTAAGATAAATGTTATATGCTGTTTAATTGACGCCGCAAAGGTCATGGGTGACTGAGGGCCTGGTTTTGCACGCAAAGACAATTTTGAAAACAATTAGAAAACAATAGTGAAAAGTGCTCACTTCTAATTACTTAAACATTCTTATTTGCTATCTATTCTTAATGCAGTTTAAAAAACCAACCTGATCCCATGAATTTGCAGCCCACAAACACCACTGCCATATCAATTAAATTGTTAATCCAATCTAGTAGATTCTTCTAATCTAACCATCAAATCTTTCTCCAGGAGCATGCCTTGAAAGCCAGTGAAAGACTCGGTGCAGCCCGCAAGCTCAAGATCGTGGAAGGCATCACCCTTCTCAACAGCAACCCTAAAGAAGCCAAGAGCTTGGAGACTCTCTCCACTGATCCTACCTTGAGGAACAAGCAAGTGACTGAGAGGCTCTGGGAGACCGCCTCAGACCTTCTTCAGTCTACTGAGTTGGAGCTTAGCTACGGAGGCAACGATGATGAGGAAGCTGAATCCAGGTCCATCAATGATGAAGGTAAGTTGGGAGATCCAGATCATAATACAAAATCAGTAGTAGTAATTTAAATGAAAATGACTTCATAAGCAGCAGAGCTTGTTATACCAATTAAAGAAAGAATTTTGGTATAAAAGTGCATTTCTTGTTTTAACGAACTTCCGACTAAATTCTTGTTCAACGACTGGTTTGGCTTATTAGACAGTTTTATGTTTTCATATATTTAATTAAGGAAGAGAGTTCATAAAATGATTAACATCAACATCCGATTGTTAGTAGTTTGTTTCTGAGAATTTAATATAAAGAAATGTTTTATTTAGTGGATATTGTAATAAACTTGACATAGACAAATAACATGAATAGACATCCGTTTAACAATTTATATAGTCTTTCCTATTGACAGAAATGTACAATTTATTAATAAATTTTTGTTTACCTAGTCTGGCCAAAGATTTGACCAGGTCAGTGTCAAGCGAGTAAATATAGATTTTAGACTCTGATATTTAAACATTTTTCTACTAAGAAACTAGTTTTTATCAGCTAATGGTAATCTCTTTGTAAATCTGAAACATGCATTAATATTTCCAAATCTTTCCAGTTGAGGAAAGCCGTGGTAAGAAGAAGAAGCAGATCAAGAAGAAGTTGAAGATGCTCATCCCTCTGATGCTCCTCGCCAAGGCTAAGGCCGTTGCTATCGTTGTGGTCGCCTTGGTCGTCATCGCCGCTTCCCTCTTCAAGCTGGCTCTTCTCGCCAAGATCGCTTTCATCATCAAGCTTATCGCCATCATCAAAGCTCTTCTTGCCAAAAAGCACGCTCAGGAGGAGATGTCCTGGGAACCTCATGGTTGGGACTCTCACGCTGAGCACCACCCCGTGGCTGCTGAGCACGGCCATGGCTGGGAAGGTGGTTGGGCCCGCACCAGGAATGAAGCCAACAACTTGGCTTACTCAGCCTACGCCAACTAAGCTGTTCACCAAATATTACTTCTAATCTGACCCTTTATTGATCTAAGAGTGAATGTATTTAAGTATGTTTGTCGATTCTTTTTTTTAGTTCGTACTTTTTTAATTTTACTTTTCTCTTTACGTCTTTCTTTTCAGTCATTTTATATTCTTCGCATTCATATTTGCGATTTTGTTAATCTGACTGAAAAGGATTCTTGCTTCTCTAGTGTATGTGATAGTATTATTAGTTATTTTTTGTGTATTCATCTAAGTATACGGGTATATTTTATACGTATTTATTCTTATGTTGTTTGTATAATATTAATTCGTATTTATTTTCCAAATCTTAATCTTCCAAAAAGAACTAAATTCTTATTTATTATTTTATTTATATTTTTTATTGATTTGTATTTATGGTATCTATTGTTTATTTATAGTACCTCTTCGATACTCAATTGTTTATTTGATGTATATATTTATTTATAGTTAGATCTCCAATTTATTTATTTATAATTTCAACTATAACTGTATCGTGTATCACGAGACGATGAGTCATTTGTTTTGTTTGTATGTATGTATGGATGAGTGTGAACTGATTGTAATTTATTCTTATATTTATAGCAACAATAAACCAAACAGCAATTATTTATTTCTTTTGTTTAATTTAATATTTACTACTTAAACCTTCCTTCTTCAACATTATTTGCAGTAAAATCATAATAAGTATTTAAACAATAGTAACAATCATATAGAATTAAAAATGAAAATGGGTTAGAACAATCCAATAAATCCAATACAAATAAAAACGACAATAATTATAATCATATACACAATATAAATACAGTTCATGTTAAACATTAAAAACACAAAATAAATTCAACATTTTTATTGCTAATTCTGCGAAAATAAATTAATTTGAATTTAATTCTAGTAAAACAAACAATAATGTAAAGACACAACCTATTAATATTTAGCGATAGAATCACCCCATATACTCATATAGACTCCTATTTCTGACGAAAACAATTTTGGATTCCACACCATTTAAAATATTCTTTTATTAGTATAACATTTTCCATAGATTCATTAAACCTTATTGACTGCCTCGTTGGCCGAGTGGTCGCAAGTGCGACTGCCGAGCAAGGGGTCTCGGGTTCGATTCCCGGGTCGGGCAAAGTATTACTGGGTTTAAAAAAAAAACTCAGTAGTAGCACGGAGTCTGGAATTCTGCCCGGTATATGGCAATAGGCTCACCCCCTATTACATGGGACTCGTAACATAAATAGTGAAAGGTGGGTGTTGCATTGTACAGTGGCATAATGTGCACCTCTGCCTACCCCTTCGGGATAAAAGGCGTGATGTTATGTTATGTCATTAAACCTTTTTAACGCCTAAGTACTTTGTGGTATTTTAGCCAAGCCAAACTCGCATCTCTCCAAGTGCCTTCTGAAGTTGTTCGAAGTATTTTTTGACTGAAATAACTTAAAGCTGAACGTTATATTTACAAAGAAACTTTATAACATTTTTATCAATAGTACTTCTCGACCAAAAAAGGCAGTACAGTACAGGCAACCTGTGCGTGGTCTACTATGCATGTCAAAGTGTCGCGTTGTACAAATTATGTATTCGTCGCATAACCACTTTGGTATAAAATTATAACAGCGTACTATGATAATGTAATACGCTTATATGAATAATAATAATAATTACAATTGGAATAATAATTACTTGTTGGTAATAAGTAAAAGTGGTCAGTGTCCACTGTCCTATAGTATTTAATAACATAACATAACATCACGCCTTTTATCCCCGAAGTGGTAGGCAGAGGTGTACATGCCAATGTACAATGTAACACCCACTTTTCACTGTGTATGTTATGAGTCCCATGTAATAGGGGGTGAGCCTATTGCCATAAACCGGGCACAATTCAAGACTCCGTACTACTACTGAGAATTTTTAAAATAAAATTCGCATATAAACCAATGATAGCTAAAGTTACTTATGCTTTTAATATACTCATTAGAAAAGAAGAAAAATCACTAGGCACTATAAATAAAATAAAGAAAAATTACCACAAAAAAATACAGTGTGTAGGAAAACAAAAAAGTAAAAAAATCATAAAAGAGACATGCCCTAGCTAAATGGGTTACGTTACATTTCGGTTTTGGATTAATCATCTATATAGTGCGTTTAGCCAAACGCCACTTTAGCGCTTGTCCACAGAGAGAGTTGTACAAAATGTATGGGCATGACACGGACTAGTATCAAAATTTACATCATTTCCATATAATTTGGTTTTCTATTCTACATGTAAGTAGACAAGCGCTAAGTGGCATTTGGCTACAGCTGCTGGTATTGTAGCTTGGATTCTTAACCCAGGCGCATGCACAAGTTTTAATTATCATAAAAAAGCAGTTAATGTTCTGGTAAATCATGTAGTACCACAAAAAAAAACGACGCAACGCCTAGTAATATTCTGACAGCAAAATCTCGGATTAACGCTACAGAGAAAGCTTTCACAATTTCTTTTGTTAGCACTTGCACATTGCGTAGGATTGCTGTGACTTTATCTTCAGGTTTCTTCTGACTAGTATCCAAAATATTATTCTGTTTTTATTTTACATCATTATTCGGAAATAGTGTCAACGTAGCCAATTATTACATTAATATTATGTTTCGAAAACAATAAAACACGTGTTAAAATTATAATAAAACTACAATTATTGAGATCAATATAGTCCTATTTATTATGATCTTCGCATGACTTTTCTAAAGTGTAATAATAATAAACAATACATACGATAAATTTTCGTAACTACTCAATAAATAATCCATTAATAAAACGCCATCTACCAACGATAACAGATTAAATTTTATTCCATTAAATAACACCATCTACCGGCAATCCCTAGAACTTGGAGAAAGAAAACTAACATCTTTCTCATCTTAGTTTCGTAAACTTTCACCTTTCATCTGGCGCTGTGATCGCTTAAAGAAAGTGATTTCCAAAGACGTATGTTTAAGTAACCGATAATGCTAGTTGACTTAGCAGTTAAGTTAGTTGTAGTATGTGGGTTAAGTATAACCTCTTGAACCTTTTGTTTACCAACCTTTGTGAAGGTCGTAGAAATAGAAGTAAGTTTCAGTTTTATATTTCATTCATACTGTCTTGAAGTTAATGATGATAATGAAACTGACCATGTCGAACTGGTGTTCTCAGTTTGATTCATAAAACCTTCGTTGCCTGAAATTTTAAGTGTGGGAGAGCCATGCTTCTGCACGAATTAGCCGGCTCGACCGGAGTGATACCACGGCCTCACAGAAAACCGACGCGAACCAACTCTTGCGTTGTGTTTCGTCGTGTAAGTGAGGTTACCGGACGCCCAATTATTCTCTCTTTCCCCAATCTTCCCAATTCCTGAATCGCCTAATCCCCACAATGCCGGTAACGCACTTGTAATGCCTCTGGTATTCCAGGTGTCCATGGGCGACGCCGATTGCTTACCATCAGGTGATCCGTCTGCTCGTTTGACATAAAAAAATACGATGGTTAAGAAGAAGCACTCTGATCCGAACTACGATTTGAAACGGTTTATAAGGTACTGACAACATAACAGAAGTCTACAAGAACGAATCAAGTATCTAAAACCATAACTTATTAGGCGTGACGTAATAAGTCTTCATTTACTTGTAACTTTTATTCAAAGTCGAATGCCATGCTTCGGCACGAATGGGTCAGTTCGATCAGATACCACGGCCTCACAGAAAACTGACGTGAAACAACGCTTGCGACCTTTTCCGTCGTGGGAGTAGCCGGAGGCCCAATTATCAACTCCCCCACTTTCCAAATTCCCCAACTCTTGAATCCCTAACAATCCTTGAATTCCTAATCCCCAAAAGTCCGGTAACGCACTTGTAACGCCTCAGGGTGTTTATTAGCGACGCCGATTGCTTACCATCAGGTGATCCGTCTGCTCGTTTACCGGCTTATACCATAAAACAAAACAAAATTACACGATATCAACTGAGTAAAATTCGCTCTAAATCTTGCATAATTTTGCATAAACTTATAATAGCTACTCTCATCCTTGTTTACTATGAAAGTAAAAAGCGTGAAGATACATATTTAACGCAATAATAACACACGTTCATATTAAAACATTTTACTACCTCTACTAACCACGGTCTCGTTTAAATAATTTTGCCGGTACCTTGATAACTAGGCTAGTACGTCTTGTTACTTTTTTTGGAAAATTACTATCCTATTGTTATTTATTAAGTTTTCAGATTAAAGAGATAAACATGTAAGAATGATAGTGTTTCTTTTTATTATTGTGCGGTAGAGTAGGCGGCTCGCGACCAATTGTGACGGTGATGTATATTCGTAATGATATGATGTGTATAGCTAGTTACTATTGAGTTATATTTCTTAAAGTTTTAGTAGTATGTATCTTATATGATCAGATGGCAAGAGAAGTGGAGCAAAATCGTAACTAGTTGGTACCCCATGGAAGGAACCAGGAAAAGGGGTAGACCTCTTAAATGATGAGATGATGACCTCAGGCAAGTGGCAGGAGTTACATGGCACAGAGTAGCTCAAGAACGAAATGAATGGAAAAGTTTAGAGGAGGCCTTTGCTGACAGGCAAACAAATCTCCAGTCTTTACGTATTACTTTTAATAGGTATTTTATAGATATTAGACCTAAGTAATGCATATCTTAGGCATTATGTAACAGTTTTAAGTTGGATTTGAATATTGGCTTTGGGCTATTTTATTTTTATTTTATTATCTTTTAACAACCGCTCTCATACGTTACCAGTTAATTTATTTGTCTCATACATAAGACACCTTAGACTCAAAATAAACAGGTTCTATTGACAATCGCCGCGCCAGGAATTATAAAAAAACTAAGTATTAATGTTCAAAAAAATATAAGACTTAACGTAGAATTATCCTTACTAATATTATAAATCGGAAAGTGAGTTTGTTTGTTTGTTCCGCTTTCACGACATAACTACTAAACCGATTGCTTTGAATTTTTGCAGATGTATAGTTAGAAGTCCGGATTAAATAATAGGGCACTTTTTGTCCCGGAAAAAAATGATATTCCCGAGGGAAAACCAAAGTATTGGTATAGATGGCGCTGTGTGTATTAGTATATGTCACATTGGCTTTATATCCTTTTGTGACGCGAGCGAAGCCGCGGGTAAAAGCTAGTTTTAAAATAATCCTCAACATATACATAACTGATGCGCTTAGGAAGAAACACATAGTAGAGAAATCCTCATAAATTACATACACATAACTTCATGTCTGTCTCCCATGGGGATAGGCAGAGACTATGGTACGCCAATAGCTACGATTCTTACATATCTCTTTCTCCTCGGCAGCCATCAGTTTTTTCATGCATGCAAAATTGTCTCGCATATTGAAAAAAAGAAAACAAAAATAATCATTCAGAAGCTTTTGACGTAGACAGTGACATAACTGCTTATAACTGTTAAACAAGATATTACAATGGCTATAAAACTTCAGCCTATAGCATTAAAAAGAAGATAAAATCTACTACGCAGTCTATAGCTTAATAACAGGTCCCTTGGATTAATAACACTGCATTATTGTCTTGTTATTACATTGTTTTATTACC